TCACTATATTTAGAAAGAACTCTCTCAAAAGTCTATCATAATTTAAAAGAGCAATTAAATATCTTCACTGAAAACTTCTCTTTTGTTTGTAGCTAAAAAATGAATATTATATAGATCAAACCAACGACGACTTTTCTGTCAACATATTTGATTATTCTTTTAAATTATGTTATGCTTTTAGGAGACTTCTTTCTAATTTAGTGATGATTACTTTGGAAGAGGCCCAAACTTTATATTCCAACATGATTTCACATTGAGAGGTGATTCTTTAACTAACATTTATTATAGTACAGTGTTTTTCCTATGGACGAGAACGATGAAAAAATTAGGCACGAATGTGCTTTGCCAATTTATTTGTAAGTTTCTTTCTCGATAAATTTTATGTCTTAAGTCGGTCCTAAGAGATATTCAGCTTTCTGCCTGATGCAAAAATACGTAGACTTCAATTATTTGGGTACTAATCTTGCACAAAATATTCGCATTTGCAATTGATCATTTGAAAAGTTTTATTATATTGAAGTCGCTAAATAGTATGACATTAATAAGGCTCATATTTTGCTCTTTTCTATAATCTTTTTTATTATTAATGTAATTATTTATATTACATTTCTTAATCTTCTGATAGTTTCTTACGCTAATAAGATCTTTGAAAACAGGCATGTAAAGAAAACGGAGGGTGATAGAATATTAAGAAGCTTGAACACCTTTATGGGTTGCCTAATTCGTGTGCCTTTCTTTGAAAGTATATTTTTTGAGCTAAAGAATATGAGGTCCAATAACTAAATTCAAGCCTCCTGTTGCTATCATACATTCTTCAAATATGTTACATATAATTCTAATTGTTACTGCATTTTCAAAATTTATGTGGACATGAAAAATTGTTTCCTTCTGCTCTTTACATTGTTAATCATCAAAAATTCTATATGAGAATATATTATTTACAAAGGAAGTCTTATAAATTTTGAGCTAAAGGTGGTTGAGTTCTGCTATTAAATATAATTGGATGCATCCATGATACCATTTGCTACCTTTGTGGTATATTTTAAAATTTATTGTTTTTCTAAGATTCCTCCATTGTTATAAGTTCATGTTTCAGTTTCAGGTTCATTATAAAGTTTGGCACGCATATTATTGTTGGTATAAAGATGGATGTAAAGGATGTGATATAATGAAACATCAGCGCTCTTCTTCACTTCAACCAGCTGATGTGCAAAAAAGATTGAAAATGATGGTTGATAAAAGGTTTCTATATGCAAATGAACAATATGAAATAGATATAGAACAAGTATAATAGACTGAGAAGGCTTGAAATTATTTTATATGTATCCAATTTATGCCAAGGTACAACTTTGAAAACTTAGAAGCTGGTTTAATGTTTTCTCATTTGCACATCTGTTAATGCTCAAAATTTTCTTAAGGCAACGATTGATGCAAAGAACATAAATTATATATCTTATCTAAAAAAAAAAAAAAAAAGTGGCTATTAGTAAGAACCAGTTTTCTTGTTAGAATTTGGTGTAACACTTGAAGTTTAACTTTTTTTTCTCTCCTTTCAAATGGTTTGCTGGCTTGGAAGTTAAAATATTTATGATCTCAATGGGTCATTAGGTCGAAATTAACTTACTAGACAACTACTTGACTATAATATGTTGCATATTCTGGCTGATATTTTAGAGAATTTAGATGCTCTGTTGAGTGTTTTGCATCATTTTACTAATTCTTACTATGTAAACTATAGATTTGTTCCCTTGATTCAACAAAAAATCAGCTTTCTTTATAATTTTGTGGCTAATTGGAAGATGAAGTTATAAGATTATGAGTTATCATAGGCCTATAGTTACTTATATTCAACTTTTGTCATATATTGCATAAATGCTTGATATTTTAAAATTAAAAGCTCTGTTGCTTTCATTGTTTAATTAATTTATAAAACATATAAATTGTAGATTTGTTCCATTGATGCCTTGGCTTTTTGATTTTTCAGTTTGAAATGAGGAAGACTAGGTTGAGGTTTTGCAAATGCTCGCACATCAAGTGCTTACTCACATAAAGATGTATGCCTTTCGTATTTTACAAATCGGATTATTGTTACTTGCTGGGCTCAAGAGTTACTGGGATTTATTTTCATTTAGTTAACTAGTTTTTTAAATAACAGGATATTGTTAGCATTTGCAAAAGGAGAGGTGGAACATTACTAGAACTTTGGCCCATATGACAAACCCAGTTGTTCACATTATAGGCACTATATAACTAAAAGTTCACATATTCTCATCCTAAAAACCTATCACTCCATAAGAGCTTATCCAATGCAATCGTGATTGCTTGAAATTTCTGCCATATAAACAAAATAAATCATGTTTAAAAACTCACCTACTATGCAAGGTAATAGAATAAAGCTAAACCGATAGAAGAAATTCAATATGGGGGTTGACAGATAGACACATTGCCAAGGGACCTGGTTGCATAACAATTTTTCAAAAAAAGTGGGCCTTCCTGTTGAATTAGAAGGCGATGCAAGAATTGATATTAATGAATAATATGAAATTTGTATGATCACAAAAAGAAAATAAGATTAAAGTAAAGAAATTGAAGAGAGATTAGCAGAGAAATCGACATTTTAATGTTATTGAAAAGTAATTTTGCCAAGAAATTTTCTGGTTCACCCCTATTTAATTTTCAACAACTAGTCGTAAATTATTATTAGAATTAGTAAATAATTTGAAAATTAATTTCAAGAAGTAGGCAAATTGTTGGAAAATGTGCATATATTTGGATGATTTCAAGAAGTAGGCAATTTAAGTGGGAAAAATTTATTTTAACTAGACAAATTAAATAAGGGTATATAAGTAAAGGAACAAAACAAAATATTTTAAACTAAGAAACGTGACTATATATTTGGAGCAAGAAAAAATGGAAACTAAACCTATATAAATATGACGGAAGGAGTAATATTGAACTTGAGTGTCTATTCATTAGAAACCAATATAGTGTAGATTGAAAGTCTTTCAATATCTATTTTTTCTCTGCTACATCATCTTGACGAAGTATTTATCAACTTGCATTATATATATATATATATATATATATATATATACAGTCGAGACAATTTTGGACATCATTTTCAAAAAAAATATAAACCTATTTGTATGGGTCATCTCCCCCGATGGGCTGCCTTTTTAAAGACCTCTGGACTTACGGGGGTGTCCCCATTTCAGAGTTTAATAGATTTCTTAATATTTATAAATTCTCATGGATTGTGTGAAATTTCATAGAATTTATTTACTCCAATTCTCCAATGGATTATTGTTCCAGTACTTCCTTTAGCTTATGCAATTTCAAATTATTTATTTATTTATTTATTATCCTTTTTGGAAGTGCCATGCACTTGTTTGATGGCCATTATTCATAAGGAACAATGTTTTGAATACTAATTTTTAGGGGAAAGTATAGTTAGAAAGTAGGGAAAGTTTTGGATTTACGTATAAAATATTTTATCGTATGAATATGTGATTAAAAAAGAGTATGTAGAAAAAAAGATTTTTTAATTAATGGTCGTGTAACAGATCCTAAGAAGATTTGGCTTCACATTTTCTTGTGAAGAATACTTTAAGCTTTACTATATGTCTTTTTGTGTTTTCTTTACTCCGTGTTATGCTTGCTCATGTAAGTTATAAAGTACGATACTATATAAATAAGTTAATTTTTTCTAGTTAAACTCACCGTTAAACATGTCAGGTGTTGATTTTCACTTTTGTTTAGCTGTAATTTGATGTGTGAAATTAGTCGAGACAATTTTGGACATCATTTTCAAAAAAAATATAAACCTATTTGTATGGGTCATCTCCCCCGATGGCTGCCTTTTTAAAGACCTCTGGACTTAGTATTGTTCAAGTTATTCAACATTTTGAGTTTGTTTGATAGGAATTTTGATAATTGATTTTTAAGTCATTAGAGATAAAGTGAGTCCTATCTATGAGAAAAGAATTTAAAAATGACGACTGGAATAATGAAATAATAGTCAAAAAATTGATTTTAATTGACTTAAAATTTGTACCAAATAAACACTTAAAAGAAGTGTGACATAATTTGCGATTGCAAATATAATAAGATGGTCTATTTTTAATATCTAATCATGTTCAAGTTATTCAACATTTTGAGTTTGTTTGATAGGGATTTTGATAATTGATTTTTAAGTCATTAGAGATAAAGTGAGTCCTATCTATGAGAAAAGAATTTAAAAATGACGGCTGGAATAATGAAATAATAGTCAAAAAATTGATTTTAATTGACTTAAAATATGTACCAAATAAACACTTAAAAGAAGTGTGACATAATTTGCGATTGCAAATATAATAAGATGGTCTATTTTTAATATCTAATCAGGCTTGTAACAAGAAATTCAAAGCCAATAGTTTTATTTAAAACTGAGGGCAAAATGATATATAGTGCATGTTTGGCCAAATTATTATAATTTTAGTCGGTCAAACATATTTTTATCTATACATTTTGTAACACTTACAACTACTATTTATTTACTATTCATAATAATGTTTAAATTTTAATTTAAAAACCAAAAAAGGCTCATACGAAGGTAGAGGAACCAAGGAAATATCCAAATAAGCCAATTTGGTTATTATTGAAAATATGGTTAATAAGAGAGAAAAATGGAAAACTTAGCCCCTGTTTGGTTTTAATAAAATTAAATTCTTAATAAAATTCGATCAAATTCGATCAAATATGTGATTAAATTTTTTTATAAAAGTTAAGAATCCCATGAATTGAATAACTGAAAATAAATTTGAGAAAAATGAATTTTAAAAAATGGAGCCAAACTGAAAATAAAGAAAAGACCAGAAAAAGAAAATAATTACTAAAGATGAATTAAATTGACCAAAATAGAATTAAGAAATTTCCTCTAATTTCAATCGACTAAAATAGACTTCTCTTAGTTGATTCCATAACTGAAAATAGTCTCCTTTGGCTTTGATCTCAGGGAGTATAAATTTGACCCCACAGAAAAAATTTTTCCTTCGAGAGATCGTTCCCCTCTCTCTCCTCTCTCTTGCTAATGGAACATGCCCTAATTCCCACCTCTTCGTCACCACCGTCCGATCATGATCATGATCCTGATCCGTCCGATCATGATCATGATCATGATCATGAACCCGATTACTCACCGGTTGGATCTCCGGAACTTGCTGAATCTTACTTCCCCCAGGCGCCCGATCTACCTCAGGCTGCTGTGCTATCTGATGATCTTCGGAACAAGATCATTAAACAGGCAAGTTTATTATTTTTACAGTTTAAATTTGCTTCATTGCGTAGATTCTGACTTTAAATTGTTACTGGAAATTTTGGCGGTTTATTTTGTTAGATTAGCAATTACTGATTTGTAGTAGGGTTTATTTAATGATTGCTGTTTTCTAGTAGGTTTTATTAGTAATATTTGATTCTCGATGTTTTCAAGACTTTAGGAACTTATTTACAGCATCAAAAAACTGATTTTCACTTTAAATTGTTACTGAAATTTTGGGCTGTTGATCTTATTATATTAGTAGTTGTTGTTTTGGAGTAAGGTTTATTAAGAATGAAATTCACCCACAATAATACACTATAATCAGTTGTGATTCTCAATGTTTTCTAGACTACAGGAACTTACTTTGCAATATCAAAATTTTTAGTTATTGTGTTGCAAGTTCTTGAAGTCTTGTATGTTGAGGATCACTGATATGAGTTTCATTTCTAGGAGGGTTTGGAATTGGTGGAGGGCTAACGTTTAATTTTTGAGTTGTTAATAGGGTATTAAGTTAAAACTCTTATTTTACTTATGAAATTCAAAATGTCGATATTTGGAGTTTGATTGGTTCTGTATGAAGCTAGCATCCATTTTGCAATATGTTTTTGCATGTCATGTTGAAAAGTTTTGGAGGCACTTATTTCTCTTTATCTGGTGATTAGGTATATTAGAACCAGAGATGGTTTTTTATAAGCTTCTCTTGATTTTTGCATTTAAGTTTTAAGTAAAGGGGCATGTTGGGCCCTAGAGTTCTTTTATTTTCTATTAAAAAAGTTTTGTCCTATCTAATAGCTGGACGTTTACATGTGATTTTTCGCGGTCTTTGTTGATTGGTGAGGAAAGGAAATGATTAGGGTTTAATCATTTGCATTTTATTTCTAGCTATATTGCATTTTAAGTGCATCTATTAATCAAAATATGCTTTTGAAATATGTTTCAATTTGCAGGTAGAGTATTATTTCAGTGATGAAAATCTGCCAAATGACAAGTTTTTGATGAAGTATGTAACTAAAAATGCAGAAGGTTTTGGTGAGTTCTAGTTATTTTTCTTTTATTGATTAGATTTTCCATTTGTATATTCATAAACTAACTAATTGGAATGCAGAAGTTGGCACTCTTAAATGTGGAAAGTTATTGTCTGTAAAAACTGATAAGAGAAATAGCTTGAACTGTCACTGCATACTATTTTCTCTGGTCTGAGATAACCAAGTATTCCAATGAACCACTTATTGGGGACATAAACGGAATGCGGTACATTTGTGTGATTATCTAATTAGGATAGTAAAAAGGAATTTCATAGCATAGTACAGAACCCAGATGGCTTGGCTCAAATTTCTAGCATGCCATGTGTGTGGGCTTGAAGCTGCTTGTCCTCAATGCTTAGCTTATTCTTCAGGTGAACAAGTCAATCTTTCCATGATGTTGTTTCTGGGTGCAGCTAATTCACTGGTGCCCAATAAGCTATCCATTAGCTATTTAAAATTGGAGAAATATATGTTCACAGATGTTTTTGAAGTGGTGGTGGTCACAGTGAAATTTGTAGTTTTTGCCCATTTAAATGAATATATGCTTTCATGTTGTTCACCAAATAGCGACTAACCAGGATCTCTCTCTCTACCTCACGCCCCTTATTTTTGTCAGCCTTTACTTTTACTTGCAATATATTACTATGCAATCATAAGTTTAATAGAAATTGAGGAACTTTATGTACTCTTATCTCTAAAAACAGTTTACTGTCTTCCAGTTCCTGTTGGAGTTATTGCTTCTTTCAGAAAGATGAAGAAGCTCACAAGAGACGTATCATTGATAGTGGCAGCCCTTAGGGAATCCGAGCATCTTGTAAGTGACTTAATTTTGCTGGAACTTTACTTTGTAACAGTATTCTTAATGACCAAATTTCTTAAAAAGCATGAGTCTTGATAAAAATGTCATAATATTACTTAGTTTAATTAGTTTCTCGAACAGTCTTCTTTTGTCATTGCCATCATTTCATTTTTATCCAAAATTCCTGTTACTAGTCAAGTGAGCCTCTGCTGACTGCAGGTAGTTAGTTCCAATGGGAAAATGGTGAAGCGTCTTCATCCTCTTCCATTAGCTGAGGTCAAGGATCCTATGGTAATATTTTTGCTTGAAACGAAACATGATATCTTGAATCTGACATGTAGATTTAGAAGATATATTAAGTCTTGATCTGTCTTCTAGCTGTGCACGGTTTTGGTGGAGAATTTGCCTGAGGATCATTCAGTAGAGAACCTTCAGCGAGTGTTTGGTGAAGCTGGAAAGTATGCATCTTCCCCTTATCTTGCATTTATGCTGTGTTATTTCTTTCCTGGTTGGCCGTATAACATTTCTGCTGCTTCCAAATTTTTAGCATAAAGCATATTACAATCCGTGACCCACATGCTACAAGGGAGCCCAAAAAGGTTACAATTGCAGAAAAGCTGCTGAGTGGGAAGGTACAGAAAATAAGTTTGCAGTTTGAATTTATTTATAATCAAAATTGGAATGCGATGTAGGATGAGATTGGGTCGGCTTTTAATCTCAATTAAAGTAACTCCAACCCCAAACTGGCTCCAACTAGTACAAACTTCAGATGTGTTGTTATCTAGAGTTTATGGAAAAAGGCTTAAGATAGATAACATCTTTGTGCCCTCCCACTATAGAAGCTGTCTTTATAAAAATGGTTATAGTTACAATAGCTGATGTGTCAAGTGCTACCTACATTCTGAGCAAGTAAAATAAAAGGCTCATAAACACACACAACTCAGAGAGATGCAAACTGATACACTCACATGGAGAAATAGTTACATAGATAGATGCTTGTCTGGCTTGAAAGGTGGTTACCGTCCAGAATTATCATCTTAAATTTTCAATACATAACAGTTGACCCATTAATATTTCCTGGTTTCTACATGTAGTTACATGCTCTTGTGGAGTATGACACTGTGGAGGCTGCTGAGAAAGCTGTGAGTGCGAAGCAGAACCCATTTTATAGTGCTAGTCACTTGTGACATTCTAATGAAAATTTTATTACCTTGGCATGTTACTGATGCTAATTTGGTTTAGGTGGTCACTTTAAATAATGAACAAGATTGGAGATTCGGATTGAGGGTCAAGCTTCTTAAGAAAACGGTAATCAGTCCTATTACCTCCCTTTCCCATTTGGTGATGGAAGCATGTTTACACACATTGTGTTGGCAATACTAAGAATATTAGTTTTTCTTTGACCTATTAGAACAAGCCTGGACAGAAGAAAAAAAATTGGAGGGAATCAGAGCCAGAGAAGAGTAACAACACTCAAGTATCTGATCCAGTTGGGAATGAGGAGAATCTTTATTCAAGTGAGCATCACGACGATTCACACGACGAAGAGGTGCATATTAAATCTTGTAGAAAGCTATTTTCTTCATTCATCCTCAGTAAATTACATTTGGTTCAGTTACATCAGTTTTTACAGTAATATTAGTGGTTTGTATTATTTTCCAAAAAAACTATTGGATGAAGTACCGGAAAAGGAAAATGAGTCCTCTTAAGAAATTATAAATGACTTGGTTTAACTAAATATTCACAAGCTCATGAGCGTAGGCTTGATGACCTCTCTGCAGACTGCATAGCAGAAGTGTGTTGAATATGTAAAAAAGGTTTGCTGTTTTTATGCATCTTAGGACATGGAGCATTTAGCGAAGGAGAAAAATGGGGCACATTTACCTAAAGAGAAAGACGGGCATAAAGGTCGAAACAGAGGGCGTGGAAGGAGACAAAAACTTTATGGCACAAATGGACATGGTATTGTAGAGTTACACGTTATTTTCTCTCTCTCTTCAATGGTATCTTAATTTATTTTGTCTTCTAATGGACCTTTTTTAAAAAATATATATTTTCAGGCCATGGAACACATGCTTCTGGTCATGGTATTGAGCCTTTAAAGCCGCCTCCAGGCCCAAGAATGCCTGATGGAACCAGAGGATTTACTATGGGGAGAGGCCGGCCACTGGCTTCCAATTGATCATCTATGTTTGACTAAGCTTAAAAGTTACTTAACTTCATTGAAAAGTCTCTACAGACGTACTTTTCAATTAAGCTTTGCTGAACATAAGAGAGCCGTTTCACTAGCTGCCTGTTGGTGGCAAAGTAAATATATTTATGAGGTCTACAATATCAAGTGGAGGTTATTCAGTTAACAGTGTGTTTTATTGCTTTAAATCTGTATTTGAGGGATTTCACATTGTTGCGTGGATTTGCAAATGGACCTTGTCTTATTTTGATATTGTGGACCAGAAAATGTAACATTATCGAGTTTCCATGTAGTCTGGGCATTTAAAAGTTGGTTTGATTTGTCGAGAAATGGAAAAGTTATTGCCTTGATGACATTGGGTATACTTATATAGTATGTTACGGGATAATAGTTAATTTTGGGGGAAGCTGTGATAAATGAGCAATGTTATTTGTACATAATTATTCATAGATGGATGTACGGAGAAAGTGAAAAATGCAGTTTGGAAAGGAGAG